ATAAGCAATGATCTCAAAATCTTCCAGGTAAAACCCAACTAGCACAGTAGTGCTATAAGCTTTCTGCAACATTTTGCTCTAAAATGAGGTATTTAAAATATTCTTATAGCATAGTTGCACAACACCTTATAGGACAAATTTTTAACTGATGCATAAACTATTTTATGTGGCATATTTGCAGCTTAGTCAAAATGGTTGTGCTGTGGCATCCATGGTAACGTTTATAAAACAAACCCGAGCCTTGTTGTTTTGCTGTGCAAATTTACTACTTTAGCCAACAAATTGTTCCAACGGAAGCACTTATACAACTGTTGTTTAGTAACTGCTAAATATGTTGGTATACAAATTCACCATAACCTAACTTTCTGCTGTCATATTTTAGTTAAAATGCCATAACCAATGTTTTAAGACAAACAACGCATGCATATTGGTCTAAAATATTTTATCCACTGTTCAAACAGAAGATATAGATTTGGTACAAATTCTGGGTGAATCATTCGACTCTGTCAGTATTTCATTTCAGCCATTTGTAAAATTGTTGTATACCACCTGCAGGCAACACCAAAATATTCTAATAACCTAAAGACAACATGGATGATGCCATGATTATACACAACCACCCGCCATATTGGGCTAACATTTATTCCTCTATTTGATATTAAATAATTATGTTTCGGTTCAAAATTACAGATATAAAGTGATAAACATTAGTGTAATTGTGTCTAAATATAGGATTTGTGGAAGATTTAATGCAGATAAGTTCAGTTTTCCATCTTAAAAATCTAGACATACTTTTGATCATTATCAAAATATGAATCAAATACGAAGCCCGTAGAATTTGCGTAACTACTATGCACGATAATCACAATAAAATTTGCTGCGCAAGTAATTCAATAGCCCTATATCATAGTGTAGAAGTTTATCATACACCTGTGTATGAAATTCACAATGGCCGATATGTAAGTAAACAAGATAACTTCACTTCGTCTATAAGAAATAGTTTGGTTGCAATAAAGTATCACGTAACAGAATAGTTGTATAGGTGACAAAAACTGAATCTTGCACTGACGTAAATGTTCTATAGCGGCTGCAAGAGGCTTACACTTTTGTTGTATAACTGTTACCTGCAGCCCTTATACAACCTCTCAAATGACTGAAGTGTCCTATTAGGTGTGCCCATTCCGCTTGTATAGCTGTTCTAAGAGGGTTTTGCCAATGTTCTTACAGTATACAATGCTGTGTAAGGAATACTGTATAATCATTCTTGCAACTCTAATAGGAGTGATAATTGTTAGTTGGGAACTGTTTTTGGACGCCATATTTCCAATATGGCAGTTTGAGTTGGAAAGATACGATATAGCAAAGTGAAAATTGAAGCAGAGCACAGCGAAATCTACTAGGGGCTTCAAATTTGACTCTTACTATTGGTATTTCGGAAACGCTAAAATATACGAAGTCAGTGAATTGCGGAATTAAATAACTAATAAAATTGTACTAAAGTTTCGCAATTCCGAGTATTTCTTCACCCTGAATTACGACGGCGACGTGTTCCAATCCAACTTGTGTGGTTCCAGCAGGATGGGGCGACCGCCCACACAGCCCGAGCATCCATGGACGTTATTCGCCCTCTCTTCCCTGGTCGCCTTATTTCCAGGTTTGGCGATGTTCATTGGCCTCCTCGGTCCCCAGATTTATCCATATGCAATTTTTTCTGATAGGGACACCTCAAGGCTAGAGTATACGCGAACAAGCCCCGAACTCTGACGAATTGAAGGGCGAAATTCGCGTGGAAGTTGCCCAAGTTGAGAGAGCGATGTTGGAGAGAGTCTACGCGAACTTCCAAAAACGCCTCCAGCACTGAATCAACGATTTCGGTCACCACATGCCTGATGTGATTTTCCACACTTGACTGTCTCAAATGCTATTTCCTTGTGAACCTGATTCCATCAATAAATTTGTTTTCGAGTAAAAATTAACTATTTTATGATTTTTTTAAAACCGTCCATCCTCTCTGCCGCACCCTGTGTCATCTACCAAGCATTCCTTCAGTTTTTATGAACTAGGTAAACAGTCCTATTTCCGATCCTAATGAAGTGATATTGTACATATCATCAGAGCCGGCTTCAGACTTTTGTGCACTCTGAGGGGGCAGGGGTTGGCGTTGGTCAGTCAGTCTGGTCTCACCCAGTGGGTGAGGGGTTGTCACGGATTCGCACTTGATTGAGAATTTTACTCCCCTTACGGCACTGCACCCTGAGGCGGCTGACCTTCTTATCGTTTGCATAGCATGACATGCGACAACAGTAATTTTCATAAAGTTTTTCTTAACTCATCGAATAAAGAACACCCTAGTGCCAAAACTTGTTCATTTTACTTAAGGGTAGCATTATTTTTTGTAACTTATAGCAACATTTTAGATTAAATAAAGCCTCGACCATGTTGCAGCTTTCTAAACATATTTCATATCCTGTCATGTAGAGCGCCTCCGCCGTGCTGAAATAACGCTTGTTATAATCGATAAATGGGCAAATTATTTGAATGTTCTCTAAACACGCCTCTCAGAAATGTCATTTTCAAAGTCAACTATGACAATATAAGTTTTTTCGAAACAACTTAGGCTTGATAATGTTAATGTATGACATTTTTTGAATCAGAATTAAACATTCTATTTACCTGTGCAGAAATCCAATACGACGTTAATAAGAAATATACTAAGTGACATATAAATCTGAACACCCAGTTTAAATGGTCTTATTTTAATAAAATTTTGTATAAGTACTTAATGAAGCATAATAAGTAAATGATAAAAATTTCAAAATGATTGCACTGCTCTAAAGCCCTTTGACCTTTAATAATGTGTGGATGCACCCTGATGTGCTACGCATTCTCCAACGCGCCTAGGCATGCTTCTGATCAGGTGGTCAATGTCCTCCTGTGGTATCTCATTCCAGGCAACCACCAACTCCTCTCGAAGTGCTTCTAGAGTCTGAGGAGGACGTTGCAAATTGAGCAATCTCCTACCCATCATATCCCACACGTGCTCAATTGGGGATAAGGCAGGAGATCTTGGTGGCCATGGTAACAATGTGACATCATTACGTTGAAAGAAGTCTATTGTGCCTCTTGCAACATGTGGTCGGGCATTATCTTGTTGGAAAGTTGGATCTGCCAGGGTGTCATGATAGGGTGAAAGATGGGGTTCTTGAACTTGTGGATATAACGCTGCGCGATCATGTTACCTCTGATGAAGATTAAAGGTGACCTGGAACCATAAGCTATAGCACCTAAAACCATAACTCCAACAGTGTGATGAACATGTCTTTCAACAAAAAACTGTGGATTCCTCCATTCACCACGTCGCCTTCTAACCCTGGCACGACCATCGTGCATGCCTAAACAAAATCTAGACTCGTCACTAAAGACAATACTGTTCCATTCCTGATCCCAGAGTGACCGTTGTCTGCACCACTCAAGGCCATTACGTCGGTGTTCTCGAGTTAAAGGGAGGACCCAGTGTGGCCGGTATGAAAACAAGCCAAAACTTCTCATTCGTCGGTAAACACTTCGCATGCCAATAGGTCTTCCGTGTTCTGCAAACCATTCATTTGCAATGGACCTGGTAGTGGAGAAACGGTCCCTTAAGGCCAATAATCTTAGGCGGCGATCTTCACGGTCTGTTGTTCTACGGCGGCGTCCAGTGCCCCTTGCTCTTTGCGTACGGCCTTCTCGAAGCCATGCCTGACAACACCTAACCACAGTGTCTACACTTCTTTGCACTCTAACTGCAATTGCCCGAAAAGAAAGTCCAGCTTCCCGAAGTCCCACTATACGGCCCCTATCAAACTCACTAAGTTGACGAAATCGTACAGGTCTCCGTACTCTAGGCATCGTAACCGATCGTAAAGGATGTCAAGAACCAAAATCCGCCAACGTTGATTCTTTACTGCGGCTGAAATATTCAATTTTAGAGCGTTAGTGAATAAAAAAAAGCAGTATAAAAACCGGAATATCCAACTGATAAGGCTGAAAATTTTTTCACTAGTTATTTACAGTAAGATAAATACATTCACCAACTTTTATTAAAATAAAACCATTTAAACTGGGTGTTCGGATTTATATGTCACTTAGTATAAATAATAGTTTAAAAAACTAAAAAAACACGTTTTTGTAGCTAACCAAACTAAAAAGTAGAAAATAATTTTTAATTACAAGAGTTTATATTACAGTAGTAGATGGTCGAACAATCAATCATAATTAATGACCTCAAAATAAAATTATAATTGAATTTGAGTTATTAACAGAATAACTCAATTCAGAGTAAAAAGCGTGGAGTGCTTGATATATTAAATGTTACAATTATTCTATTGGCAACTATCTATGAGTGGAAAGTTATGAAAATGTATTAAATTGCAGCCCACACTTTTTATTCTGAATTAAAGTATTCTGTTATTAACTTAAATTTTATTATAATTTTATTTTGAGCTCATTAATTATGATTGATTGTTCGACCATCTACTACTGTAATATAAACTATTGTAATCAAAAATTATTTTCTACTTTTTACTTCGGTTACCTACAAATCCGTGTTTCTTTAGTTTTTTGAACTATTATTTATTTTACATTGTTTAGTCCGATTTATCAATTAGTTTTAGCGTATTAAAAATAAAGCTGATGATGACACGAGACGGAATATCATATTGAAACTCTAATTATGCTCCCTTGTGGAGAAGAAAAAGTGGCAACGTTAATGTACTTTTTATTTTGAAATCCAGGAAAAAATAAAAACGATTCTGGGAAAATTCGGTTTCTTTCGTTTATTTATGGAATTGTCGGAATTGCGAAACTTTCTATGCCATTTTCTTAGTTACCTACATACTCAAGTTTACCCCCAATCAACTGACTTCGTATCTCTTACCGTTTGCGAAACACCAATGGTGAATTGTCGAAGACTTTTCAGTTTCTTTTTCTGGCACTGATTGGAAGCCTGAAAATAAACCTACTTCTGAGAGCCCATTTCTTGAATAAAATAAAGTTCGTAATCAGAGCCTTCAGATCCTTCGCGCACTGTGTATGTCCTCCAGCATGGTCCACAGCTTGTTCAATCTTGTTCTTGACATGGCCCAAAAGCAGTCCTGAGACAAACTGAAGGTTCTCAGCTCTCGATGGCTCATTCACGTCACACAAGAACAACAAACCAAAAATACTCAACAGAATGATCGTGCGAACCTTCATATTGGAAACGCTAATTTGAACTAGCTTTTTGTTATTTTTGTTGGTGCGTTAGTGGTAATTGAAAGTCACATATAGATAAAGGGTTCTGCCAATTATCTTTATCGTTGAAAAGAGGATAACTCGCGACTATAAAAGTACTATTTTTAGTTAGTTGTTTTCATGCAAAAGCGCTCCAAGCCAAAAGTTTCAAAATTTACAATTCAGGAAGAATTCTTATAGAAATCATACTGTGATAAATAAATAAATAAATAGCATTTATTGCCCAACAGTTAAAGAAACTGTTTACAGGACAATCCTAAGATAAATCAAACTAACAAAAACAGAAAACACAGAAAAAGCACGTGATTTCATCTAACGGAAAAAAGTGAGAAACATATACGAGGGATGTCTTTTAAGCTTTGCGGTAGGTAGTTTTAAATGACTTTATTGTTCTTCGAAGTATTCGCCACGAAGATTAATACACATCTGCATGCGATCGCACCAATTTTCAAAGCACTTATTCCACTCGTTTGCTGGCAGATCCAAAACGGCATTTTTGAATGCGTCAACTGCTTCTTCTGGTGACTGGAACCTTTGAGCACGCAGTCTGTTTTTAATTTTCGGGAAAGTAAAGAAATCGTTAGGACTTAGATCGGGACCATATGGAGGATGGTCCAATAATTCCACGTTTTCTTCCATTAAATACTGCCTTGTTTTTTGGGCTGTGTGCGAGCTTGCATTGCCTTGGTGGAGGATGATTCTTCTTTCGGGGTTGATTTTTCGAAGCTCGGTGATGACTTTTGGCACACAAATGGTGATATACCAATCCGCAGTAACAGTTCCTTGCTTATTAAGAGGAATTGTTGCAATATGACCCGCTTTTGACACAAATGTCGCGACCATTTTTTTCGAAACACTTCGAGAACGGATGACTTTTGTTGGCTTTTCTTCACCTTGGAACACCCAAACAGCCGACTGTCGTTTATTTTCTCGTTCATAACAGTAAATCCACGATTCATCACCACTAACAATTCTGTACACATTTACGGTCAAGCGTTTTTTGACACCAATTAACCCTGGCTGCTTTCTGCTCTTCAGTCAACAGGTGGGGTATCCAACGAGAAACTAATTTTCTTACTCCTAATTCTTCATGTAAAATTTTTTGAATTGAGGTCTTTGAGATCTTCAAGGACGTCTCAATCTCACGATATGTCACATGTCTATCTTCGATGATGAGTTTGCGCACAGCATCGACGTTTTCCTGGGTGACTGCCGTTTTTGGTGCACCCACCCTGGAATCGTCGCTAAGACTTACCCGTCCACGTTTAAATTCTCCATACCAACGGGAAATTGTTGACTGATGTGGCGCTTCTTTGCGAAAACAGACAGTAACTCAGCAAGGCATTCTTGTTGCGATAAATAACAAACATGCTCAAGAGAATCAATGTAGCACCTTTTAAGCTATGTGGAATGAAAAATAATTGAGTTATCACGATTTATGAAAACATCCCCAATTTTATAATTAAATTTACAAGCAGAAGTTTTCCTGGAAAAGCTGACTACACGACAGTTGGACGCCTTAAGAAATAAATTATTCTCGTCACACCAAGAAACTAAAGAATCAATATACCGCCGAAGTGCAATACAATCAACCTCAGACTCAATAATCCTGAATAATTTTAAATCATCCGCAAAGAGGAGCTTATTGCAACTTAAATATTGCACATCAACGGCATCATCAACAACAATAAAGGACCAAGATTTGAACCCCGAGGCATTCCCGATTTAATTTCATACTGGTACGACTTGAAGCCATTGAAATGAACATATTGCTTCCTTTCATAAAGATAACTTTTTATGAGAGCTAAAGCTGATGAATGCAAACCATAATAAAAGTTTATTTAAAAGTATGCCATGGTCCACCCTATCGAACGCTTTAGCAAGATGCGTATATATTACATCTAGTTGACCTTGCCGATCGACACATTCAATAGCGAACTGAGTGAAGATTGTTAAATTAGTTACTGAGGATCCCTTAGGACCGTATCGTCAGTCGTTCCTACAATTTATTGTAGGACACCTTTATGGCCTCCTTGATTTCCATAGTCTTTTATCCCCTTCGGAAAGGCTGGGGTATTTCTAGATTTCTACTCTTCCGTGTCAGCGTCAGCGCTCTCCTACTGTGAGGGTATGTTTTCTTTTTGAATCGTAAGAAATTTCAAGCTGATATAGCAGATGATACGAACAATTTGATGCATAAGCACAGACATAACCTCAACCATAACACGGAATAGTAGAAAACTATGAAAATCAAGGAGGCCATAAAGACGTCCTACAATTTATTGTAGGAACAACTGACGATATGGCGCTTAGTAAGAAAACCATGCTGAAAAGAGGACAGAGATTATCTATGAACTGCGGAGTAAATTCCATTAGGCAATATTATCTCCAGCTAGTTGGAGAAATTTAACAATATTGATATATGCAGTAAAACACTTTTACGAACTTGTACAATAATACCAAGGACACGTTTTGCTTTATTCAAGCAACGTCAGATTATCATTTATGTTGAACAAAGTTAAAGGCGTCAACTCATTTTCTTTGGATTTAATAATGAATAGTCTTTATTAGGAGCAAAGCTTAGCGTTGCGCTATTACTCTGCCCAAAATAAAAGAACAAAAAAAAACAGAATATTTCAATGTTAACAAAAGTAGGTAATGATTAGTTGTATTAATTAGGTTGTGCATAAGATATAAATTATAACAGTCTAAAAGTTTAAAGAATGTTTTACATCCAAAAGTTTTGCAAAGTGAAAGGTAGAAAAAACAACTAATTCAAGTACATTTCTCCAAAATAAATATTTGAATGTCTTTTCTAAATTTTTTATAATTTAGCAATTTTATGGCTTGTGGAAGTTCGTTAAGGAGAATAACTGCGTTGTATGTGAAGCCTTTACGATAGAAGGCCTACTTGTGGAGAGGCATTGTGAGTGTCTCCGCAAATCGGATATCTCTTAGGTGAATATAACTCCTAGGTATCAGTTTATCCTTTGAAAATGGAGGAATGGCTGTGAGCAAAAGCTCACATAGCCTCATAATGCCTCTAAAATAAGTGTTTTTATGATCATACTTTCTTAAGTTACTGATCAATCTGCAACGGGAATTTTGAATTCTTTGGAGACGCATGAGAGAAGTGGAACATGAACTATACTAAGTGACATATAAATCCGAACACCCAGTTTAAATGGTTTTATTTTAATAAAATTTTGTATAAGTACTTAATGAAGCATAATAAGTAAATGATAAAAATTTCAAAATGATTGCACTGCTTTAAAGCCCTTTGACCTTTAATAATGTGTGGATGCACCCTGATGTGCTACGCATTCTCCAACGCGCCTAGGCATGATTCTGATCAGGTGGTCAATGTCCTCCTCTGGTATCTCATTCCAGGCAGCCACCAACTCTTCTCGAAGTGCTTCTAGAGTCTGAGGAGGACGTTGCAAATTGAGCAATCTCCTACCCATCATATCCCACACGTGCTCAATTGGGGATAAGTCGGGAGATCTTGGTGGCCATGGTAACAATGTGACATCATTATGTTGAAAGAAGTCTATTGTGACTCTTGCAACATGTGGTCGGGCATTATCTTGTTGGAAAGTTGGATCTGCCAAGGTGTCAAGATAGGGTAAAAGATGGGGTTCTAGAACTTCGTAGATATAACGCTGCAAGTTCATGTTACCTCTGATGAAGATTAAAGGTGACCTGGAACCATAAGCTATAGCACCCCAAACCATAATTCCAACAGTGTGATGAACATGTCTTTCAACAAAAAACTGTGGATTCCTCCTTTCACCACGTCGCCTTCTAACCCTGGCACGACCATCGTGCATGCCTAAACAAAATCGAGACTCGTCACTAAAGACATTACTGTTCCATTCCTGATCCCAGAGTGACCGTTGTCTGCACCACTCAAGGCGATTACGTCGGTGTTCTCGAGTTAAAGGGAGGACCCAGTGTGACCGGTATGAAAACAAGCCAAAACTTCTTATTCGTCGGTAAACACTTCGCATGCCAATAGGTCTTCCGTGTTCTGCAAACCATTCATTTGCAATGGACCTGATAGTGGAGAAACGGTCCCTTAAGGCCAATAATCTTAGGCGGCGATCTTCACGGTCTGTTGTTCTACGGTGGCGTCCAGTGCCCCTTGCTTTTTGCGTACGGCCTTCTCGAAGCCATGCCTGACAACACCTAATCACAGTGTCTACACTTCTTTGCACTCTAACAGCAATTGCCCGAAAAGAAAGTCCAGCTTCCCGAAGTCCCACTATACGGCCCCTATCAAACTCACTAAGTTGACGAAATCGTACAGGTCTCCGTACTCTAGGCATCGTAACCGATCCTAAAGGATGTCAAGAACCAAAATCCGCCAACGTTGATTCTTTACTGCGGCTGAAATATTCATTTTTAGAGCGTTAGTGAATTATAAAAAAGCAGTATAAAAACCGGATTGTCCAACTGATAAGGCTGAAAATTTTTTCACTTGTTATTATTTACATGTGGTAGAAGTTGAGACATTGCGAAACTTCATACTAGAAATAATAAAGATGCCAGTTTAATGCTATGTGAGGTTGGTTGCAAATACTCTGTCGAATATCCTGGATGCATCCCTGGAGATGTGCCTCGAAAAGGGACCGACTATTATTGGGCTGCTCATAAGAAAAATACCATCCACACCCTGAACCCGCCTTGAGGTTGCTGAAAATCACAATAAGTCACAGAATGGTTAAAAAAACAGAATCAGGAATATTGACACATAGGGCCGATTTTGCTAACAGGAGGTCAAAATTCATGACCCGGATCATAATGGATCAATGACAAGGCACCCTTCTAGTAATGGATCTAATGAAAATAGTCATTTTTTTGTAAAATATGTCGCAAACTAGCAAAAAAATATACTATTTGTGTAAGATGGGCCTCTAATCCCCACATTAAATTGAGAAATTCTTAATATATCACCTGGTTTAGCTGTGAAAATATACTAAGTGACATATAAATCCGAACACCCAGTTTAAATGGTTTTATTTTAATAAAATTTTGTATAAGTACTTAATGAAGCATAATAAGTAAATGATAAAAATTTCAAAATGATTGCACTGCTTTAAAGCCCTTTGACCTTTAATAATGTGTGGATGCACCCTGATGTGCTACGCATTCTCCAACGCGCCTAGGCATGCTTCTGATCAGGTGGTCAATGTCCTCCTGTGGTATCTCATTCCAGGCAACCACCAACTCCTCTTGAAGTGCTTCTAGAGTCTGAGGAGGACGTTGCAAATTGAGCAATCTCCTACCCATCATATCCCACACGTGTTCAATTGGGGATAAGTCGGGAGATCTTGGTGGCCATGGTAACAATGTGACATCATTACGTTGAAAGAAGTCTATTGTGACTCTTGCAACATGTGGTCGGGCATTATCTTGTTGGAAAGTTGGATCTGCCAGGGTGTCAAGATAGGGTAAAAGATGGGGTTCTAGAACTTCGTGGATATAACGCTGGGCGTTCATGTTACCTCTGATGAAGATTAAAGGTGACCTGGAATCATAAGCTATAGCACCCCAAACCATAACTCCAACAGTGTGATGAACATGTCGTTCAACAAAAAACTGTGGATTCCTCCTTTCACCACGTCGCCTTCTAACCCTGGCACGACCATCGTGCATGCCTAAACAAAATCGAGACTCGTCACTAAAGACAATACTGTTCCATTCCTGATCCCAGAGTGACCGTTGTCTGCACCACTCAAGGCGATTACGTCGGTGTTCTCGAGTTAAAGGGAGGACCCAGTGTGGCCGGTATGAAAACAAGCCAAAACTTCTCATTCGTCGGTAAACACTTCGCATGCCAATAGGTCTTCCGTGTTCTGCAAACCATTCATTTGCAATGGACCTGGTAGTGGAGAAACGGTCCCTTAAGGCCAATAATCTTAGGCGGCGATCTTCACGGTCTGTTGTTCTACGGCGGCGTCCAGTGCCCCTTGCTCTTTGCGTACGGCCTTCTCGAAGCCATGCCTGACAACACCTAACCACAGTGTCTACACTTCTTTGCACTCTAACTGCAATTGCCCGAAAAGAAAGGATAGCTTCCCGAAGTCCCACTATACGCCCCGTATCAAACTCAATAAGTTGACGAAATCGTACAGGTCTCCGTACTCTAGGCATCGTAACCGATCGAAAAGGATGTCAAGGACCAAAATCCGCCAACGTTGATTCTTTACTGCGGCTGAAATATTCATTTTTAGAGCGTTAGTGAATTAAAAAAAAGCAGTATAAAGACCGGAATGTCCAAATGATAAGGCTGAAAATGTCTTCACTTGTTATTTACAGTAAGATAAATACATTCACCAACTTTTATTAAAATAAAACCATTTAAACTGGGTGTTCGGATTTATATGTCACTTAGTATATTTGTTACTGGACTCCACGTCGCTTGTCTGTTCTCTACAGCGGGGTTTTGTAAGAAGGTTCTATGTGCCTTGAACGAATTTCACAATGCTATGGAATTAGGGGGAGTAGTCCCCATTCTATGTAAGTATCGTTCACGTTCGTCGTGATATCTTCGACATTAAAAAAATATGATCCAAAGTTCCAGGTGTGTTACATTCTTCGCAGACATCCGAGTAAATTATATTCAGTCTTGCTAACAGTGCAGGGTAACAGCCATGTCCAAACTTCAATCTACTGTAAGTGGAGATATGATTTCTAAAAGCGCATAGCTTTTTAAGCTCTAGTTTGGATGGTATCGTTTCTTGCACTTGACAGTACTGTGTTACAGTATTACTATTTGAAATATATTCTTAAGAATTACACCCTAGCTTCCGGGTATCCTTTTTGGGTCTGGTGATACAATGGATTGTGACTCAAAATGTTGTTCAGCAGCTGCTTGTTTTGTGAAAGTATCTACAGCTTCGTTATACGAGGTGATGAGACTTTTTTAATTTTTTTATTCGAATTTAGTTACAATTTTATATTGTCACCCTTAAAATGACTTCTTTCTGAAGCCACACAGCACTCGAGATGGTTCTTCTACTCCTCCTAGCAGTGCTGGAACTACGATAATACTGCAACAGCCTTCAGCAACATTTTTAGAGCACATTAGGAAAACTGTTTCATAAAAATCGTTACGGGCAACCAAAGGACTCGAGCGAGTTCAAACTTGTACTGAAGGAGACTCACATGAAGTGTTGCCACAGCGTTGTGGCCAAATTACTTGCAAGTACCAGATAGTTTTACCTGCAATTACTTGCAAAGTTTAAAGTGTTTTTATTCGTTGAGTAAAGATAAAAATTGAAATCTCCTGCAAGTCCAATTCTATCGCTGAATGATTTATTTGTGAACCTATGCTAGGAATTCTCTCTGTCTTGATCTAAAGCTTCCAGTGCTCAGCGTTCGGTAGTAGTAGATTGATTCAAGGTGTTTGAAGCCATAAAATATCAATATCGTTTTAACTACTTGCAAATTCCTTCAGAGCACCCATTCCTTGCAACTTTACTTGCAAAGCTCCTCATTCATTGCAAATGCAAGTAATTACTTGCAAAACGGCAACACTGTTCACATGTTCCCGTAGCGCCCCTCCAAGCTCAGCGCCTCCAGTGTTACCAGATTGAACGCTACGTTTCCAGTCTCATCACTTAATTTACAAACCTCGTATTTAATGCCAGTATGTGCCTTGACCCAGATATCTTGACTTCTCAGTGCTCGAAGCTTTTGTTTAATGCTACCTGATATTGGGCTTATATTAGATAACGGTGGCAAGTTAGACTCCAACAATTTCAGAACAGATAATGAGTCAGACCCAATCTATTTTGAGTGTCGCACTGTGGCTCGTAACTGAATACGGCCCTGTACTAAAACAAATTCAATAATCGACAACTAATGCCTCAAAAATGTATTTCTAACGACAATATATCAAACCTAATATCTTCTTAATAGCTCTACCTACGTTCTTCTTCTGGGAAACAAAAACCACATAGTGATGCGCAGTCCGACAGGCTTATCAGTTACTGTACTAAAAAAGTGTGTATGTTATTCCATTAATAGGTCATCTGTGTAATCATACTCTCGATAATGAATTGACTGCTGTTTCAGTATGTTAATCGGCTTCTTAAGGTGATGGTGTGAATGCTACGATCGTTTTTCTTCATCGAAAGCTATGGATTTCAACGTCGTTCTACTCAATAATAATAAGTAAGTTAGACATGTAATAGGATAGTGTCATTAACATGTTTGGGATGTTATTTTTGGTAGCTACCTAAGTAGCATCACAAAAACACTTTATTTGAGGTTTGAAACGGTTTTATTGTGGTAAATAAAAAGATAATGGTTTTAATGTTACCTTGTAGATATACTGCCAGGACTTAAAAACTGTTTAAAATTTAATACTGGTTCTAAAGAATCTCAAATAATATCAATTAATCTTATAAGCTTATTTTTCTCATTGTAGTTTTAAAATGGCTTAGTCTCAATTAACTTTCATGTGTTGTTAGTTTTATTACGTTCTAGTTTGTGACGTTGTAGTTTTTAAGCAGTTTTAAATATTCTCCTAATATAAGTAACAAAACCCATTATAAATGTACTTGATCTTCCAACCTCTGTGTCAGTAAATAATATGCCTTAAACTTATTTACTTAGCTTTCTTTGAAACTGCTTTCTTAAATGCAACTAGCAGGCAATATTAAAACTCTTGTAATGAATTTGGTTACCGTAAATACAAACTATAGGTACTTCTGTTTAGAAACAATAAGACTAAACTTATCCCTTCTTCTTTCATGTTCAAAATGGACGGCGCATTTTGTTTGCTTATCCGCAACTTTTTATCATTTTATAGTTAAAGATACGTACATATACAAATGAGTATATAGCTTTAAAGAACCATTTTCATTTAAGGTTGATGTTAACAATAAGGTAAATTAACCTTAAAAGTATACATTCCATAAGCACTTTTAAGTTCACTTTAAAACTGCATGTATTTGAACTGGTTTAGTACCGTAGCACTTTTAAAACCAGTTGTCCTGCAGCGTGGGCTCTTCTGTGCTGGAGGCGGACTTATTACAACCTTAAGGTTTATTTAAAAACCAATTGGTTTTAATTGCAGTTACATTTCACAGTTTTGATGCATCCTTCAAGTACTTAATAAACCCGCTGGGTGCTTCTTGGGTATTCAAAAACTACAACGGACTAATCGATCACAATTTAGAACTGTTTCTATTTTTGCTTTTTGGTGCAAGTTATATGACTATCGTAGTTGTAGTATCATTGTATTGTGAATAGAAACCGTAAATTGAAATATACTAAGTGACATATAAATCCGAACACCCAGTTTAAATGGTTTTATTTTAATAAAAGTTGGTGAATGTATTTATCTTACTGTAAATAACAAGTGAAAAAATGTTTAGCCTTATCAGTTGGACATTCCGGTTTTTATAATGCCTATGAAAAACATCGTTCAGTCAATTTTCTGTTCAATTTATGTAGAAACAACAAAAAGGGGATAATTGAGGTTTGAACATATACTAAGTGACATATAAATCCGAACACCCAGTTTAAATGGTTTTATTTTAATAAAAGTTGGTGAATGTATTTATCTTACTGTAAATAACAAGTGAAAAAATGTTTAGCCTTATCAGTTGGACATTCCGGTTTTTATACTGCTTTTTTTTAATTCACTAAAGCTCTAAAAATGAATATTTCAGCCGCAGTAAAGAATCAACGTTGGCGAATTTTGGTTCTTGACATCCTTTACGATCGGTTACGATGCCTAGAGTACGGAGACCTGTACGATTTCGTCAACTTAGTGAGTTTGATAGGGGCCGTATAGTGGGACTTCGGGAAGCTGGACTTTCTTTTCGGGCAATTGCAGTTAGAGTGCAAAGAAGTGTAGACACAGTGGTTAGGTGTTGTCAGGCATGGCTTCGAGAAGGCCGTACGGAAAGAGCAAGGGGCACTGGACGCCGCCGTAGAACAACAGACGGTGAAGATCAAGCCTAAGATTATTGGCCTTAAGGGACCGTTTCTCCACTACCAGGTCCATTGCAAATGAATGGTTTGCAGAACACGGAAGACCTATTGGCATGCGAAGTGTTTACCGACGAATGAGAAGTTTTGGCTTGTTTTCATACCGGCCACCCTGGGTCCTCCCTTTAACTCGAGAACACGTAATCGCCTTGAGTGGTGCAGACAATGGTTACTGTGGGATCAGGAATGGAACAGTATTGTCTTTAGTGACGAGTCTCGATTTTGTTTAGGCATGCACGATGGTCGTGCCAGGGTTAGAAGGCGACGTGGTGAAAGGAGGAATCCACAGTTTTTTCTTGAAAGACATGTTCATCACACTGTTGGAGTTATGGTTTGGGGTGCTATAGCTTATGGTTCCAGGTCACCTTTAATCTTCATCAGAGGTAACATGAACGCGCAGCGTTATATCCACGAAGTTCTAGAACCCCATCTTTTACCCTATCTTGACACCCTGGCAGATCCAACTTTCCAACAAAATAATGCCCGACCGCATGTTGCAAGAGTCACAATAGACTTCTTTCAACATAATGATGTCACGTTGTTACCATGGCCACCAAGATCTCCCGACTTATCCCCAATTGAGCACGTGTGGGATATGATGGGTAGGAGATTGCTCAATTTGCAACGTCCTCCTCAGACTCTAGAAGCACTTCGAGAGGAGTTGGTGGTTGCCTGGAATGAGATACCACAGGAGGACATTGACCACCTGATCAAAAGCATGCCTAGGCGGGTTGGAGAATGCGTAGCACATCAGGGTGCATCCACACATTATTAAAGGTCAAAGGGCTTTAAAGCAGTGTAATCATTTTGAAATTTTTATCATTTACTTATTATGCTTCGTTAAGTACCTTTTTTAAAATAAAACCATTTAAACCGAGTGTTCGGATTTATATATCACTTAGTATAGATTGAAAGACATGCGGTGGTCATCTTAAACTTTTTCGTATAATGAAAATGATATTCTGTTAATAATTTCCATGAGGGCTTGAAGCTTTGCTGACCTTGACAGAAATGTAGGAATAAACATGCGATAATGTAGTTTCCAATTGATAAATAAAAATCGTCATAAACATGTGTTGAGCCAATAACAGTTAGTTGGCTATAACGTTTCGATCCAATTGATACATGAAGTATTTCGTAACCTTCACGTTACGCTCTTACGAGAAAACTGATAATTTCCCGTATATTCTATTTTCATCAGGAACAAACTTATATAAATGTACGAAAACACAGATGAACCTTGGGACGAATTAAAACTATCTGTGGAGACTTTTCCCAATTCAACTAACCATAGGCAGTTCAAAAATCGAATTAATAAAGTGTCTTTGAGTTTCTTATAGCAGCCGCTGTGCCCCAGTATTTAGAGTTCTGTCACCGCGCCTGCTACGGTATAAATAAGAAGGTGTTAATATATATTTCAGCAGGTGAATCCCTGGATTCTATGAAAAAAGTTGTCGGAAATTTAGACTAAGCCGCATAAGAAAAAAAAGAACCCAGAATGAGAAATTCTTGATGGTTTTATTTTTTCGTGGCGATACATCTGCACCTGCTAAATATGAACAAATTTTAACAAATTTTCCTAGTATTGTATTTTTAATTGTCACCATAGATTTCGAAAATGAAGCATTTTAGGCCTTTTTATATGAACTTTTCATGTTGGAATGATCCAAGGAACTACCCATGGCAGTTAAGCCACGTACTTTATTGATACCCTGTATACAGGGTCTCTCAGCGAAAATGGAAAGTTGTTTTATGAACAAATTGGAAAATATATCAAAAATCAGTTTTCGTGGCAACCTTGATATGTTACTAGTGCATATTTTAAAATTATTTTAATATATACAGGGTGTTCCATAATTTCGTGTAATAGAAAACATATTTCTTAAATAGAACACCCTATACTTGAATAGAGTCTCTAAAAATAAGAAGTTTGAAATATATAACATATGGTTTCAACTGTCAGTTATTGAGATACTTGGTCAAACGTCTGAATATAGGCCTAGCTCGGCTCGCAGCTTCGCTATTTTTGAAAATATTTATGTATATATGGGGTTGTCCAAAACGGACGCAGGAAAGTAAACGCATATTAAAACAAGAAACATTGATATTCAAATCAAGTTGGGTACTTTATTTTGAAGGTTCATTCATACCATTTATGTATGAAAAATAATATCGCTCAAATGTTCACCACGACTGGATTTACAGATGTCCACGCGATGGTCGAAATTTTCAATGACATTTTGCAACATGGTCGGTTCTATGGCATTTATCTCGTTTTTGAGTTCTTGGAGGGTGGCTGGTTTGTTGACGTAGACTTTGCTTTTCAAATATCCCCATAAAAAGAAGTCCAAGGGAGTCAAATCGCACGATCTTGGTGGCCATGGCACATTTCCTCTGCGCGAAATCACGCGATCACCGAAGAAGGACTGCAATCGATGGATATTGACGTTGGTTGTGTGGCATGTTGCACCGTCTTGTTGGAAATAAACATCATCCATATCCATTCCTTCAAGTTGCGGCAAAAAATAGTACTCTATCATCACGTGATATCGCTCAGAATTGACGGTAACGGCGTCCCCGGCCGCATTTTCGAAAAAGTAAGGTCCGATGATGCCTTTTGACCACAATGCACACAACACAGTCACTTTTTGAGGATGCATCGGCTGCTCTTGATACTCACGGGGATTTTCGTTCGCCCAGATGCGACAGTTTTGCTTGTTTACCGTCCCATTCAAAGTGAAATGCGCTTCGTCGCTGAACATGATTTTTGATGAAAAATTGGCATCAATTTGGCGGTGTTCAAGGAGCCAATCTGAGAACGTTCGGCGCGAAAAATGGTCGGCCCGACGCAGCTCTTGCGTCAATTGGATCTTGTAGGCGTGTACATTCAAATCCTTGTGGAGAATGCGGAGCAAACTGGTTTTCGAAATGCCCAATTCTTGGGATCGACGCGATGTTGATTGTTTCGGATCGTCTCTCACACTCTCCTTCACAACAGCAATATTTTCCGGTGTGCGAACGCTCCTTGGCCGGCCAGTGCTTGGCAGATTTGCCACAGAACCTATTGCCTCGAATTTACGCACCAGACGACCGATGGTTGTTTCGTTTGGGCGGTTGTTGCGACCGAAATGTTCACGAAGTGCGCGAAACGTGTTTTTTATTTTTGCACCATT